AACCACCTCATTGTATGTGAAGGACAAAATAGAATAGCCAGTGAGGCAGGAAAGAATAAGATACACAACACTATGAGGGATTCAGAGTGACTGAAAAAAGAGGCTTTTGACCAGAAGTTATGGGAAGATAGGGTGAAAGAGACCTTAGCCCCAAACTAAAGAGTTTCTACTTATTTTCATCACATCAATTTGAACCATAAAAACATATTGTTGATGATATAGGTGTGTTATTACAGCTGTTAGGTGGCATCAAATCAAGTACAGCTCATAGTGACGATTAAAACAACAGATCTGAACCCTGTTCTATACTGTGCCATCCTCATACTTTCTGACACACTAGAGCCTATTACAGCAATCTCTGTGTCAATCCACCTGGTTGAGGATCTTCTGCTCCTTCACCAGCCCTCCGCCTTTTCAAGCATTGTATCTCTCTCCATCATGTCCCTCCCAAAAGAATGTGATGCAAAGCTTTATCATCTTTCCTTCCAAGAGCACTCTGCTCTGTCTGCCCTTTTTTCAGGACAAGTTTGTTTGTTCTTTTGGCAGTCCATGGGGTGTTCAGTACTCTTCTACAACACCACAGCTCAAGGGCATCAGTTCTTCTTCTATCATCCTTCTTCATTGTCCAGCTCTCAGATGCATAGTGAGTGATTGGAAAGACCATGGCCTAAATCAGACTCACTTTAGTCCTCAAATTGATAACATTATTCCTCAGAAATTTGGAGAGGTCCCTAACTGCAGACTTGCCCAGTGCAATACATCTCCTGATTTCCTGACTGCTGGTACCAAAATGTTGATTTTGGATCATAGTAAGATGAAGTTGTTAAAATCTTCTCCATCTATTGTAATGCAGCCAGTTGGCCCAGTGGTGACAGTCTTTATCCTTTTGATGTTGTGCTTCAATCCATATTGAAGACTAAAATCTTTGACTTCCATCTGCAAATGCATCAGGTCCTCCATAGTTTCAGCAAGGTTGTGTCATCTGCATAAAGCAGATTGTTGATGAGTCTTCCGTCCAATTCCAAGGCCACATTCTTCCTCACAAAGTCCATCTTCCCAAGTGATCTGTTCTGCATACAGACTGAAAAAATTTGGAGACAGGACATAACCCTGAGGTACTCCTTTCCTGATTTTGAACTATGCAGTGTTTCCTTGCTCTGTTCTGAGGATTGCTTCCTGGTCCAAGTATAGGTTCACATGAGCACAATCAAATGTTCTGGGATTCCGATCCTTCTTAAGGTTAGTCACAATTTTTTGTGATCCACACAGTCAAATGCCTTTGTATCATCAATGAATCACAGCTGTTCCTCTGATACTCAGCTTTTGACATTGGCAATAATGTGGCAAATGCCATAGCCTCTTCTAAAACTGACTTGTATTTCTGGTAGTTCTCTGTCAATGTACTGTTCCAGTTGTTTTTGGATAATCTTCAGCAGGATTTTTTTTTTGCATGTGATATTGTTCAATAATTTCTGCACTCTGTAGGGTCACCTGTTTTTGGAATGGGAATAAATACGAATCTCCTCTAGTCAGTTGACCAGGTTGTTATCCTCCAGATTTCTTAACACAACCTGGTGAGCACATCCATGGAAGCATCTGTTTGTTGACATATGTCATTTAGTATTCCGTCAATTTCTGGGGCCTTATTTTTGCCAAGTCCATCAGAGCAGCTTGAATTTCCTTCATCATCACCATTGCCTCTTGATCATATGTTTAATGAAATTCTGTGTCATTCAATTCTTTTTAGTACAAGGATTCTGCGTACTCCTTCCATCTTTTTTTAGTGTTTCCTGGATCATTCAGTATTCTGTCTATCCATGGCATCCTTAAGTACTGTAGCTTGAGGCTTGAATTTATTCTTCAGTTCCTTCAGCTTAAGAAGTGCCAAGTGAGTTCAACTCCTTTGACTTTCTGACTCCAGCTCTTTGCACATTTTGTTATAATACTTTGCTTTATCTTGCTGAACTGCCCTTTGAAATCTATTCAGGTCTTAACATAATGATATCTTCCTTTTGCTTTGGATTCTTAGTGACCTAGTGTAATATCCAGAGTCTCTTCTGCCTTCCAACTTATTATTTTCTTCCTCCTCTGTCTTTGTAACAACGTTTTGCATTCTTCACAGATGATATGCTTGATATCCTCCCACAGCTAATCTGGTCTTTGTTCATTAGTGTTCAAGGCCTCAAAACTGATCCTGAGACAGTTTTGAAATTCAGGGGAGATGGCCTCCAGGTCAAACTTTGGTTCTCATGGATTTAATTTCACTTTCTTTAGCTTTAGTTTGAATTTACATATGAGCAGTTCCATATGATGGTCTGTTCCACAACCAACACTTAGTTTAATTTTCACAGCTGATACTGAGCTTCTGCAGCGAATCATTCAAAAAATGTAATCAGTCTGATTCTTATGCATACCATGAGGTGAAATTGATTTTTATAGTTGTTGTTTGTTTCTTATAAAAGGTGTTTGCAATGAATAAATCATCAATTGTACAAAATTCTTTAATTCTATCTCTAGCTTCGTTTCTAACACCAAGTCCCTGTTTTCTGACTACTAATCCTTTTGCCTTGTTTCCAACTTTTGCGTTCCAGTCACCCATTTTTATTAATGCATCTTGGCTGCATGTTAGATCAGTTTCCAAGTGCAAAGTTGCTAGAAATAATCTATTTCCTCCTCTTTGGCTCTAGTTTTTAGTACATATATTTGAATGATAGTGGTATTAACAGCTCTTCCTAGTATGCATATGGATATTATCCTGTCACAACATTGTATTTCAAGATTGTTCTACAAATGACATTTTTAGCTATGAATGTAGACCTGTTTTTCCTCACCTTTTCATTTCCAGCA